GTCTATCAGGGTCAAGGGAACTGCGACGACCACAGGTATATATACGACGAGACACAAGATGATCTTAGAACACATTCCACCCACCTCCGTCATGACAGCCATTCAGGTAAAGGGATTTTTCACTATCAGTTGGGAATGTACATTTTTGCGTCGTTGGTATATATGTATATGTATTTTTTTCTGTAGGAGCAGAATGAACATGAGTTTTGGAAGGTACCTAAATGTAATGTTTTTTTATGAATTTAGCTATACTTTGAGATCTAACGAAATAAGATGTATTTACCTATTATTTGGATACATCTCTACTTGAAAACATCAGTCTATTATTTTTGTGAGGTTTTCTTACGTTATTATGAACAAATTTTAAGTGTTCATGACTCAGATCAAGACCTTATCTGTGCGCAGGTGTTCCTCGCGTTGGCTCTTTCCACCTCCGTCCTCTGCGACGACCTCGGGGGCTTGCTTCACGGGAAAGGCGTCCACCATGTGAGTCGTGCCTTCCCTGATCTGTGGTGAATCTGATATTAGTAACTTTCGTTTCCATTTGCGAGCATTTTGTGTTTGTTTTGTAAAAGTGAATGTAAATCTTACCATCTCCCAGGCCCCAGCCCACTACGCCTTCAACTACGGGGTTGAAGACGCCTACTTCGGCACCAACTTCGGCCACGCGGAGTCTCGCGACGGCTACAAGACGGAGGGCGTGTACTACGTGCACCTCCCCGACGGCCGCCTCCAGACGGTCAAGTACTACGCGGACGAGCACGGCTTCCACCCCGAGGTCGCGTACTCGGGGGTCGCGCACCACGCCGCCGGTTACCACTAGTCGCTGCCAAACCGAGAGATGTCGTGGAGGGTGAATGAGTATGTTGTAACTGAATGGTATTCCCGCAACTCTGTATTTGTAAATAAATGATTCTCACTTGCTCTGTAAATGTTTTGTTTCCTAATCTAGATGAGTGGTACCTGTACTTTACAAATAGGCATAAATATCTCATGAGTCAATATTCTATGCTTACATATTGCTGTATTTACTCATTTACTGACATAACACACGCACACACACACACGCACATATATATTATGTTATATATATTATATATATATTATATATATATAAATATACATATACATATACATATATATATATATATATATATATATATATATATATATATATATACATATATATACATTGACAGGGTATCTGTGCCAAAGGGAATCTCAAAAATATATCATGAAAGTGATGATGTCCGTGAAGCATGTTGAAAGAATGAGGGCCTGGATAGAAAATTACAAATTACAAATACAATCAATGAAATCAAATTACAAATAAAATCACCTAAAATCATAAAGATAACTAAAACATCAAACCACAAGGCAGAAATTAAATGTTCAATAGCTTAAATATAACAGAGGGAAACGTGCCAAAAACATTTGTATTTATGAAGCGTCAAAAAACAACAGATAGACAAAGCTTCGATTGGCTTACCAGTCACATCAAACTAAAAATGGACAAGCACGATCAATGAAATATAAAGGAATGGCAAAAACTAAAATAATGTTTAGCACAGAAATAAAAATTAAAACGAGCAAATAAGAAAGATAAAAATAATAATTTCTAAAAGGCACGACAGTAAGAATTAAAATGACAAGTTAATTATAATGATTAAGAATAGAGTAATCACTTTAAAAGGCATGATAATTCAATATAACGTCTACCCAACAGCCAACTATAAACACCAAAAGGGCAAGGCAAAACAAAAAGTAATTCTAATCCTGCATAAGCCCTCAAGGAAGTGTGGTGTGTGTGGTGTAGATGTAGCACTGTTTTACCTCACACAGTTCACATATTCAGATTTCAGAATTCGCAACTTCAGCGAGGAGTGGCAGCCTTATGCCGTTTGTCCTCCAGGATCTTCAAACTCTTTCGTGGCCGGGACTGAGGCAGGGGTGGGGGGTGGGGGGGTTAAGGAAGGGAGAGACCGAGATAAAAGGAACAGGAACAAGGCTTAGGGCAAAGGAATGGGAATAGAAGAATGAATGAAAAAAAAAGAAGAAAAAAAACTATTTAGATAGTCATAGCGTATAAGGGTCTATGCAGTTTTGAGAGAAAATCATGAAGTCTAAGGCACAGATTGAGAAAAGGAAAGTTGGTATAAATGGAAAAGAGAAAGACAGAATAGAATAAGAGAATAAGAGCAAATTAAAACTGAAGTAACGTGAGAAAAATAGATGCTAAGCAAGGCTAGGCCAGAAAAAAAAGAAAGAAAACCCACAGAAACTTGCGGAAAAAAGTTTAAAGAACGGAAAAGAAGAAGGAGAGAAAAAAAATGCATGGAAAAGAGAAAAATAATGTATAGAAAGAAAATTAGGAGCTGGACAAGTATATTCGGAACACAAAGGAGGAAAAAGGGAAAGGGAAGGAAAGAGAGGAAAGAAATGGGAAGGATGGAAAAATGGGATGAGGGAAGGCAGAGAAGAGAGGCATGGAGGTCGTACTATATATGAATTAATATACATAAATGTGTGTGTGTATCTATCTATGTGTATGTGTGAGCGCGCGCGTGTGTGTGTGATCCATCAATAAATACGTTACCCTAGATCTTTCACGTTCTAAAATACCTTAGAGTATCGTCACAATGTGAAATGAATACACCTTAAACTCTAAAAACTTTATATAAAATTCTATGCTGTAGCTAGATAAACATTTGCATAAAATAAGATGACATAGCCGCTGCAAGACGAGTTATGGAATGCAGGGTCACAGCCACTTATCTGCCAGGGTCAAGGGCGACTGCGACGACCACAGGTATATATACGACGAGACACAAGATGGTCTTAGAACACATTCCACCCACCTCCGTCATGACAGCCATTCAGGTAAGTCTATTTCTTTTATGAATTTAGCTAAACTTTGAAATGTAAAGAAATAAAATGTATTTATCTAATCTTTCGACGCATCTCTACTTGAAAAACGTTAGTCTGTTATCTCTATGAAGTTCTCTTATGCTACTGTGAACAACTTTTAAGTTTTCATGACTCAGACCATACCTTATCTGTGCGCAGGTGTTCCTCGCGTTGGCTCTTTCCACCTCCGTCCTCTGCGACAACCTCGGGGGCTTGCTTCACGGGAAAGGCATCCACCATGTGAGTCGTTCCTTCCCTGATCTGTGGTGAATCTGATATTAGTAACTTTCGTTTCCATTTGCGAGCATTTTGTGTTTGTTTTGTAAAAGTGAATGTAAATCTGTACATCTCCCAGGCCCCAGCCCACTACGCCTTCAACTACGGGGTTGAAGACGCCTACTTCGGCACCAACTTCGGCCACGCGGAGTCTCGCGACGGCTACAACACGGAGGGCGTGTACTACGTGCACCTCCCCGACGGCCGCCTCCAGACGGTCAAGTACTACGCGGACGAGCACGGCTTCCACCCCGAGGTCGCGTACTCGGGGGTCGCGCACCACGCCGCCGGTTACCACTAGTCGCTGCCAAAGCGTGAGATGTCGTGAAGGGTGAATGAGTATGTTGTGACTGAATGGTATTCCTGCAACTCTGTATTTGTAAATAAATGATTCTCACTTGCTCTGTAACTGTTTTGTTTCCTATTGTGGATCTGGTAAAATAGGCATAAATCTTTCATCAGTCAGTATCTTATGCTTACACATTGCTGAATTTACTCAATTACTAACATAACACACACACACACACATACAAATACACACACACACAAACACACACACACACACACACACACACACACACACACACACACACACATATATATATCGTAAGGGTATCTGTGGCAAAGGGCATCTCAAAAATGTATCATCAAAGTGATGATGCCCGTGAAGCAGGTTGAAAGAACAAGGGCCTGGGTAGGTGGGCTCTCTTTACCCCACGAAACAAATGAAACAAAAAGTAACTCTATCCCTGCATAAGCCTTCGAGGAAGTGTGGGCTGACCTATGAGTGGTGTCGCAGTGTTTTACCTCACACAGTTCACATATTCAAATTTCAGAATTCGCAACAACCGGCTTTCACAAAGTAAGGCAAGGTGAGGTCAGATAAGATATTTCTCTGGTTCGTCGCATCTCCCTGTAAGACCCGTGCGAGGACATACAAGAGACGCACGTTCGGTCTTATCACATTCATTTGCGGGAATACTCGACCTTATAGAGGCGCGGGGAACAAAGGAATACGAAGATTCAATTAAAAAGAAGTATTTGCAATACAATTCGTTTTAAAAATAATATCAAACGCAATACCGAGGCAAAGAAGGTAAAACTTCATTATATATATTAAAAACATTGAGACTAAAAAGATGATACAAACAAACAAAAAATAAGCATGCTATAAGTATTACAAATAAAATCAATAACAATAAACACAATACAGAAAATCATTACTCAGTAGCTTAAATATAACGGAGGGAAACGGGCCAAAAACATTTGTAATTATGAAGCGTCAAAAACAGCAACAGATAAACAAAGCTTCGATTGGCTTACCAGTCACATAAAACTAAAAATGGACAAGCACGATAAATCAAATATAAAAGAATGGCAAAAACTAAGATCATGCTTAGCATAGAAATAAAATTCAAATTCAATAAAAAAAATAAAAGTAATAACTTCTAAAAGCCCCAACAACAAGCATTAATAGAAATAGTTGATTATAGTTATTAAGAATAGAGTAATTACTCTCAATGGAATGATGATTCAAAATAACGTCTACCCAACAGCCAACTATAAACACCAAAAGGGCAAGGCATAAGGTGCGAGGAGTGACAGCCGTATGTCATTTGTCCTCCAGGTGCTTCAAACTCTTCCATGGCCGGGATTGGGGCAGGGGGGGGTGGGGGTTAAGGAAGGGAGAGACCGAGGTAAAATGAACAGGAACAAGGCTTAGGGCAAAGGAAAATGACTAGAAGAAGGAATGAAAAAAGAAAAAAAAGTTATATAATCATAGCGTGTAAGGGTCTATGCAGTTTTGAGAGGAAATC